TGTAATTGTTTTTCTCATTTAGCCCCGCAGACTGAGTAAAAATGCTTGATTTCCCTAGTCCTGCCAAACCGAGCAGTTGAGGGAATCCCCGTTTAACAGGCTATTGTACTTGTACAACAGTGGATACGATGGTCTTGGCATATCCAAACAGTGACTTCAGATGATTGGCTGCAGTCGCTGTTCAGCCAAGAATTCTGGGACCGGTTCCTTCCACAAAAGTTGATTTGAAAGATTTTCTTTGCAGTGAACACAACACAAAAATCAAAATAACATGCATAAAAGGTTATGTTTAGGGTAGCCAATCACTCAGTCGTCATGTTTCCAAACAGCTGGATCCAACTTTCTCATCTACTTGCTTGGGGTGGGCTTTAAGGGGGACTTATTTGAAGGAACAACATGGAGACAGCCATTGCTCAAAAAATTCTAGGTGCCTGGTTCTCATGCTGGGTTTCTTTTTTCAGTACTTTGAGTCCCCAACATAGTGCAAGTATAATTAAAACATTTCCTTGGCTTGTTCAGTATGAAATAAGTGCGGAAACTAGTCTGTTGGCATAGCTGCCAGGCAACTAGAATTTTTAGGAGTTCACTAATGACAGCCCTCTTATTAATCTCACAACAGGTTTACTTAGAGGAGAACTATGAGGTGAGTGAAAAATCACTCATCCTCATAGTTCGAGCCGACGTGTGACAATGAAACTGTCACAGGTCGGCTCAGTAGATCGGGAAGTGAGCGAACACATACCTTTGCTCGCTCACTTCTCGATCATCTCCCTGCAGAGAGCAGTGGCTGTCAGTCACGGCTCCCCGCAGGGATCACCTCCCCGCTCTGATCCTCCAGTGCTGACTAGAGGAACGGACGGAGGAGAGGGCGGGCACAGCTGGCTCTGCCTCTAGATAGGCAGAGCCCGCTGTCACTCATGCAGCTCGGTGGATCTTGACAGTAATGTCAGCATTTGTCCCGGCTGCGGCGGTCTCAGTATACTGCGAGCTGTAGCTCGCGATATACTGAGCTTTGGGTCACGGGAGGACGCTAGTTTATGTCCTCCCGTGACCCTTAAGAGAACTATGGAACACTTACCCCATGGTTCTCTTTTTAAGCATGGTGTACTTTGCACCAAATAAAGTATACCCAGTTTTTTTTTACTATTGGGGAATTGTAATACCCACCCCTCCTTACTCCCCACAGGCTTAAGCTCTACCATGGGTGGGGGTGGTGACCATGCTATTTTGAAAGGTTCACAATAATCTCTGGCATAGATTGGTGTAGAATGTGCTCTGATTTGGGGGTGCCCTTAAATTACTGATGAACAACCGAATCTTAAATAAGTGTCCGGTTTATTTACAAATAGGGATATACATACATATTACAATTAAGGGAATTTGAAAGGGGAGTTGGGGATAGGAATTGAGGGTAAGGATCCTACAGCTAGCTACACCATTCTCTCACTCTCATTCACACAAGCCATGGGTTTTTCTCTGTTCTTCGCACACGCCTCTCCAGCAGGTCTCAGCGAATCACATTCTTGATTGCAGAGTTCAGAAAGACTTGTCTTGTCCAAAGGTCTTGCTTGTCAGCTAGGTTAGTGTCACACAGGAAGAAGGTTCCATCATATGCCCCTGCCCCCATCCCAGCATATATGCCTTGCTGACACAGGTGAGGGCAGTAAATACCAGCAGGGGGTCGGGCTTGCCCCAGGACATGACAGTCCAGCAGATCTCCTTTGATCAGTGTCCAGCCCCAAGAACCCTTTGATGGTCTTCATTTGCATATCAAACAGCACGGGCAGTTCACGATATCAAGGAACCTTTCCATCAAAGATGTATCATAGATGTCAATTATTTTAGCTTCCAACAATTGGGGCAGTGGGTTAAAGTAAATACACTATGCTGAATGTCCTTCTTGTAAATGAACGTATTGCTTATAAATGGATGCTGGTGGGACGAATAACCCACTGGCTTGCGTGTCTCTGAATATACACTTAATCTATTGCCCCTGCTGCAGGAACTTGCTCCTTTACTGGCGTGGGGGAAGCTCCATTCACACAGGAGCGGTTTTCCGCATGTATTCGTACGTGCGGAAATGCATTTTTCATAAAAAACAATGCATTCCAATGTGCATTGTTTAGTCTATTGCGGTGTCTGTGCGGTATGAAACCGCACTATCCACAAAATAGTCAGAGCACGATTTTAGGGGCGGATTCCGCACATTTGTGGTTATAGCGGAATTTGCGCGTATGTAAAAATGTGCACATCTTCGTCATGTAAATTGTAGCCTAACAGATGTAGCAACTGTGCAAAGCTGGAAATTCAGGTCTCATTTTTCACTGGACAATACAGAATTCTTACACTGCACATTGGTAACCAGTTAAGAGAATCTACCTAAAACGTGTAACTTATGGTTTGTGTATACTGCGTGGTCACATCAAGGCACTATTTTGTGTATTCTTACTCTAATCTATGAGAGCACCAACAGTAAGACATATACACTGAGTGGCCAGATTATTATGTCCAGTTCTGTGAGATTTGATGGTTGCGGAAGCAGCTGCCTGATGGCTCTTTCAACTTCGTCCCACAAATGCTCAATTGGATTGAGATCTGGTGATTGTGGGGGCCACCTAAGCAAGTTAAATTCTCCCTCATGTTCTTAAAACCACTCCTGCACAATACGAGCACCGTGGCATGGCGCATTGTCTTGTTGGAAGAAGCCATCTCCATCGGGATACTCCAACATGATAGGATGAACTTGATCAGCAACGATACTTTGTTATGTTGTGCTATTCAGACGTTGTTCCACACGCACTAAAGGGCCCAAATCATGCCAGGAAAACATGCCTCAAACCATGACACTGCCCCCACCAGCTTGAAGGGTTGTACTCATGCATGTGGGGTGCATGTTTTCATGCTGTTCCGCCAACTGTCCAATCCTTGGGTCCCTGTGCGAATTGGAGACGTTTTATCTTATTAACTGCAGAAAGCAAAGGTGTTAGAACAGGCCTTTGGCTTCCATATCCCATACGATGCAGTGTACAGCGAACAGTGCGTACAGAGATCATTTGAGAGGATCCCTGATTTAAGATCTGCAGTAATTTGATGCACTGTTGCCCTTCTGTTGTCTTGTACCAGTCTTGCCACTCTCCATTCTGCCCTAACATTAGTTAGTCGCTGACGGCCACAATTCGCACGTTCAGACCCAGATTTTCGGCTGACAGTCCAGTCTTTAAACACTTTAACAACAGCTGCTCTTGAACATTTAACGAATTCTGCTGTTTTGCTGATACTCGCTCCATGGCTCGCGCCAACAATCATCCCACGTTCAAAGGCTGTTAAATCGCATTGTTTACCCATATCTTCAGGAAAAAATCACTTCTACTATCGTGGTAAACAACCTGCTTCCCTATCTATAATGGTCTGGCCCTCCAGCAACTTCAGCGTGAAATTATAGCTAGTTTGCCTACAAACGTCAGGTGGTCATAATAATCTGGTCACTCAGTGTATACATATGTATTCAAATAAATTGAGCGCAGACATGCTTATATAAAATAGTGATATCTCCTTTGCACACTGTAACACTGTACCCCAGAATTCAACGGATGCTGGAGCAACAGGTGAATGGTGCCATAGTATACACACAATTCTGCTTCAGAATATCATCTTTATTGGTATTCAGCATGACTTAAAAATGCTGCTTGCAATAAAGATGACATTCTGAAGCAGACAATATATGCTCTAAATTGCTTATATACAAGTCCATCTTTCTGTGTACTCCTAGTTTATAGTAGGGCTACATGATGGAGGTATATTGGGGAAGCAGATTCCACATTTATATGCAAATGAATGCAACAAAGTCCTCTTTTTAAATTAAAATCCATTATATTTTGTAAAGCTCTGAGCAGACTGTTACATACATTCTGTATAATAAGAATTTATATAGGTCCTGTTTACTGTCTAGGAGGGCTGTGTGCTGAGGACTTTTGTGTGTTACTGTGTACTTAGTGAATCACTCACCCATTGTGCACCTCCCATGGGCCATGCTAGATCTAAATTGATTTCCGTTCAATCGAGCAGATGACAATTTTTTTTTTTTCTATTTCTTTCTTTCTTGTGTCCCAAAGAGATTGAAAAACATGGTTCAGGCATCACCAAGTCTTATTTTATGTAGCAACAATGTCGTTGGGATGTTTAAATCTGTTAGCACTTCTACACGTTGTCAATATCTGTTCTTGTAAAGCCTCTAGTTCAATAGTCACAGTTAAGCGATCTGCTATTTATGATGATTTTATACTCTGTAGTATGTGTTGTTACAGACCTAATAACACTTCCATTGTATTCTCTTTAAAGATAAACTCCAACTTTTGAGCAAAAATAATACATGTACATGTAACAACAATAAAAGAAAAAAAAATGTGCATTATTGCAGTCCCTGTACAACAAAGCTCAGACTGAAAGAAAAAGAAGCAGCACAGGGAGCCAATCAGTTGTGTTCACTAGAAATAGGCAGATAGGAATAGAGAGCAAAGTGACACAGGGTTGAGCTTATCAGTCTGCTGCTTTCTCTTTCACTGCCCAGTCTCTGTAAGTGTATCTTAAGCACAGCAGAGAAGTCCAATTCTGCTTAAAGGAATAAATGCAGTTCAGCGTGAAAATCCCATTCTATACAGCAGACTGTGTGTGACTGCAATGAGTTAATGCTGTAAAGCATCCTTTATCAGATTGTGAAGATCATTGGCTGTAATACCATAGGGACCAGATGCTAAAGCCAGTGATGCAACTTGTATTATTTACCACCTACAGCCCCTCTAGTGACAGCCAGTGACGATGAGCAAAAGTAGCCACCCCCTTTTTTTTCCTTTCCTGGGCATGAGCTCATTCCCTCAGATTTTAAACTGTAAGTCATTTATCAGCAGCACTTGTCACCTTCAAGCCTTGCTCGAAACTACAGCTAGATACAGAGACCACCAAAGCAACTTTCTTGTATTTTTTTTTCTCCTGTATTCTGCTAGGAGCGATTAGAGGCAATGATGCGTCGTTCCCAAGAACGCAGCCAGCAGCTGGAACAGAAGCAGAAGAGATGGTCTTGGGGTGGTGCCCTGGTAGCTGGATCTGGAAAAGATGGTGAGTGCTTCCAAGCTGCATTGCAGTTCTTTAAATGTCATTGTATGTGTAAAAGGGTATGGAAGTAGTGTTTGTGTTGGTGGTAGACTAGATCATCTCTTAGCTGTATTGGACTAGTTAGTATTGTTATCGAGCAGGTTCCTCTATCTGTGTACTGAAAAGTAGACTATTAGAACATACAGACATGTTTGACTGCTGCTCTGTGCTGACTAGTACTCATTGTATGCTAGCAATAATAGACGACTAGTAATTAAGGAGTTAAATCTTTACAGCAGAGTCATTGATTCTCCATTAGAAGGAGTGCCTTGCAGTCGATGGGTTAAACCCTTGTGACGCTGCAAAAATAGATAGAGGTGATGTAATGGAAACGTGAATGCATGATGCTTTGAAGTGAAGCCTTTGCTAATATTATTGATCTGTATTTAATATTTACATACTGTAATTATATAAATTGTGTGTATGCTGCTGCCTCCATTTTTAAAATCCGTTTGTTTTGTTTTTTGCATGTAGAAGTGGAATATTGCATATAAACGATCATCTTTATTACATGTATAACCTTTATTTATATATGTATTTCTGTTTAATGCAAAATCTTGTATTGTGTCCCCTTCTGGTTTTGTGCCGTGCAGGTGACTCAGAAATCCCCCCACCCCCTGTTCTAGGTTTAACTAGCAACACCCCTGACCCAGAGCCTGTGACCTCTGCTGCCGCTGATGAGTCCTCCAATGGTATTTTATGAGAACCACACAATCACTGTGTGTCTTTAAGTGTTCAATCACATCAACTTCATCATCAGCCCAGCCGTCTACCCTAAACGGTGTATAGTCTAGTGTTCACATAAAGTGTACTGTGTGCCACATTGTACATTAGTGATTTTCAATGGATCCAGAACATCATGCATGACATTGCTGTCCTGTGATGCATCCCATATCATGCTGGCCATCATCAACATATGCTTTATGATGAAAATTGATTTGAAAACATGCCTAGTGACAATGGTGTTTGCACATTTTCTGGCCGTAGTATCGATAGTGTATTATGTTATGTACCCGAAATTGAATGTGATTCTACTTAGCAACTAAACACCTTAGGAATTACGAACATCCTTTGTGATGGCGTGCTCAAACACACCATCACATGAGCCTACCCCTGCAACAGGTGCCATCAGCGTATATAAATTCATGTTTCTGGCAAGAACTCTCATCATGGCAATAGGTTGGCTGAATGTTAGGTAGTATTAGTCCAATAGTTTTTAATTTTTTTTTCTTTACTATAAAATATAGAGTATAAGGCCATCATTCTACTCCCAACTTTTGTGTGCAGCAATGTTTAATCACTTTTCGATTTAAACAATTTTTTAAAATCAATTTTTGGTGATCTAATTCCTTATTATACCAGGGCTGGACAAATTCCCGCACCTAGTAGCCAATGCCCCTTGAAAATTGCAGCTGGTGCCTAACTTTTGAGATTTTCTGTAGTTGTCAATAGAGCTGACTCCTAAAAAAAAAACAATCTTGCTGGATTGGACAGAATGGCTACTGAATTCCATATTCATTTGTCCACCCCTGACGATATCAATTCTGATTTCTTTTGTTCAGGGTCCTCAGGAAGAGGTTCTTCCCTATGGACCCCGGAAGTTAATTATAGGGCTCTATGGGGCCCTGCCTGTTTTATTCTTTAGTGAGAGAATCGTAGATTGCCGTAACACAAATACTCAGCAGCAATGTATACAGTATGCATTTGTGTATCAGAGTGCATACATCTGATTTCTCTGCTGTAGGTTTAATTAATTCTCCCTGTCAGGATTTCCTGCCTAGTCATAATCCCTTCCTCCATCCCCCCATGACCTTATCTGTTGAATAATGTAAAACACACCATATTATGTTAGTGGCATAGAATCTAGTAGTCTGTGTACAGATATGCTCTCCTGACTGTTAGAGCTTTTTCTGTTCCATATAATAGTCTATTTGAAGATTTATAGCAAATAATGCATCACTATGAGTGATTTTTACTTAGACTGCACAGAATACCTCCATTCCTTTTATATTGTATATAGTTTACTTAATAATACAAGCAAATCATTTAGTTGAACAATATGGAAGATGTAGGGCTTCATTTTATCAGAAATTCCTATACTCGTCAGCAATATCTAGGGTAGCCAGTGCCACGTGAACACCATCTGCCTAGATATAGGCCGGGTGAAAGTTTTACAACTGAAGCCCTTAATCTGGGTCACCTAAAAAAATAATAGGTTTCTTCTTCCTTCTTTTTTATTTTTTTTTTATTTTAATCAATTTGGCATTCGAATTGTCCCATATATTTTATCAAGTGTTACAGCCAGTATTTGTTGCAGCATTATCTAAAAAACTAACAGAGCCTAAGAGGATATTTTTGCTATTATGGTCTCTGGTACAGTGATGACATCATCATGGCTGCAGCCTGATGACAACATTGTATTTGTACTTTTGGAGCCCCCATACGTTTTCAGAGTAGCCTTAATGACACTGTGGTATTGCCACCATGGTACTGGTTGTTCCATGAAAAGACTGCTAGCTTGTCTTGGACAAACTCAATTTGTGGTCTCACACGTCAGTATAGGCCTTAGGTCTCGTTCACACTAAGGCGTATTGCATATGCGCGTCTGTCGCGCGTTTTACAGCGATTCGCGGTAAAAAAAGCTGTGCGACAAAACGCGCGTTTCCGAAGGCTACTTGGCTGTATCCCAATGGAAACGCGCAACAAAACGGCCCAAAGTAGTACATGTACCTTTTCAGGCGTGGGCCATTTTGTAGCGCGTTAGGGACGGGCGGAAATACGCCAAGGTGGGAACGAGACCATTGAATACAATGGGATTTATATTTTTGAGCGTTTTGTAGAGCGTTCGTTGAGCGTAGAACGCGCTACAAAACGTTCAGGTGTGACCGAGGGCTAATACTTTTAGGTTGTCATACAGCATGGCCAGACAAATCCCAGGAGCCAAGCAGCCAATGCCCCTTTTTGAGGTTTTTTCTCGTAGTCAATAGATAGTTGTCAATAGAGCTGGCTTGTAAAAAACCCTGCTGGCTCCTTAATTCAATATTAATTTGTCCACCTGTCATACAGCGATTTCTATGAACTGAACTCTGGAACTTAGTGCTGCAAGGTAGCATCACTGCAAAGACTGTTCAGTTGTGATGAACCTTGAAGAAATAGAAGCAAATGGTTTTGACTAGCGATGATTAAAGTGACCCTAAATTGAGGAGTAAAATCTTAAAATGCATTCAAGTACCTTAACTATTAACAAAAATGTATCATATTTGTGTATCACTCGGCTGTAGATCCTCAAATCATCTCTAAATTGATGCTCACACCGTCCTTCCTTCTGGAAGTTGGCTTCTTTTGTTCCCCATGGTCCCTGTTTGTGTTTGTAAAGTGTTTGTCCGCACACCATTCTGCTTCGAAATATTATCTTTATTTGCATTCCTTTAGCATGACATGTAAATGCAACGTTTTGGAGCCTCCCAAGACCCCTTCGTCAGGCAAAGTGTCAATAATCAAAAGTACTGTAGATCTTTATACCCAGTGCATTTAACAAAAAACATGAAAAATCAGAGCTATCGCCACCCACTGATGTCATAATGCCGTCCATATTCCCCCCCCTAGAATAAATCTCAAGTAAACAAACTCTGCAAATGACAAGCTCATGGTCACACAATAACATGCTTCCAAAGTAACCACCGCACCAAGCTCACTCCAGTGATGGACTATAATCTCGCATTTCGTTTTCTAATTTGTATTGAGATTGTAGTCAATTCCGAGATGATTTGAGGATCTACAGCCGAGTGATACACAAATAAGCTACATTTTGTTAATAGTTAGGGTACTTGAATGAATTTTTAAGATTTAACTCCTGAGCTTAGCGTCACTTTTTAAGTTGGTTTGAAAACCATGTAAATCAGCAAATTGCAAATTTTTGGGTTACCTTGAATACGTGAATACAGACTTCCCTATACTGCAGATAATCCTACAATTCATGAATTGAGATAGCTTGGAATCCTGAATTGAGAGATTCTACATGTACTTATTCAAGAGAGTGATGAATCAGCAGCTTTGCCATGTAGTGGCAGTGTCAAAATTCACCTCTGCTAGCACAACAGCAAGTACCATACAGGGCCTTTTAGATTTACTGTAGATCCATGTAATTCCATTGATAACATGTTCAGTGAGGTGTTTTTTTTTGTGTGTGTGTGTGTGTGTGTAAGACAGGTACTCAAGCTCACCGTATTGTCCAGACCTGACAAAATGAGACATGCAGTATTTTTCTGGTCTGGTCGGGCCTGGAACGGACTGCCCTGGTGTGAACAAAGGGCAGAAATAGCATAGGGATACATTTAGGATGCATTTTGGGTCTGTAAACAGTCTGGTCTGGAGATGATCTGGTGTGAATGGGCCCTAAGACATGGGGCTGCATCCTGCACCAATGCTCAGTATGTTTCCCTTGTGAGGGATAAGGGATGACTGCTTCTGGACACCAATTTTTTTTTGTTTGGGCCCTAAGACATGATGACATCAGCATAGCTTAGACCGCTGATGCCAAGGGCTGTGGGGACCTGTATAGCAGCCCAGAGGGAGCCAAGATTAGGCAAGTACACCTCCTTTATTCCAGCCCCCTAGACCAAACAAGCACTTAACCCTTGCAGTGTGGATGCAGCCCCACTGTAAGGGTAATTTTATTTTTTTATTTGTCTGGAGTTTTTAACAAACATTAGTGTAAAGGCATAACTATAGAAATAACTCGCCTTGGTGTTAAGGCCTAGATACAGAAGAGGATCACTGTGACTATATTTATGCTTATATATTATAAATATATAGTATATGTATAATATATAAATATACATATATTGTCACTTATTTACTGTATATGTGTAGATGCCAATTTTTCTGCTCATCAGTTGGCCTATAATTTGCCATGTTGCTTACTGCTTTGCATTGCTTAGCAAACAAAGTTCCCTAACACTCAGACCTATGCAGCAGGCATCCATCATCAGATTGCCTGAGTACTGGGGGCAGCCATCGGGTCAGTTTATCTAATATCCATGAGCACTCAGTCTATAAGGTCACGCAGTGGCATTTTGTATGCTTGTGCCTCTGTTCCTGGAGTAATCTTGTAGTGCTGTGGAAGGTAAATTAAAAAATATATATATACATGTACGTAAGTACGTGCATGCATGCATACATACATACTATATTGCCAAAAGTATTGGGACACCTCTCCAAATTATTGGATTCAGGTGTTCCAATCGCCTCCATGGCCGCAGGTGTATAAAATCAAGCACGTAGGCATGCAGACTGCTTCTACAAACATTTGTGAAAGAATGGGTCGCTCTCAGGAGTTCAGTCAATTCAAGCGTGGTACCGTGATAGGTTGCCACCTGTGCAGTAAGTCCATCCGTGAAATTTCCTTGCTACTAAATATTCCACGGTCAACTGTTAGTGGTGTTATAACTAAGTGGAAGTAACTGGAAACAACAGCAACTCAGCCACAAAGTGGTAGGCCTTGTAAAATGACACGGGGTCAGCGCATGCAGAAGTCACCAACTGTCTGCAGCGTCATTAGCTACAGACCTCCAAACTTCGTGTGGTCTTCAGATTGACACAACAACAGTGTATACAGAGCTTCATGGAATGTGTTTCCATGGCCGAGCAGCTGCATCCAAGCCTTACATCACCAATTGCAATGCAAAGCGTCGGATGCAGTGGTGTAAAGCACGCCGCCACTGGACTCTAGAGAAGTGGAGACAGTGTTCTCTGGAGTGACAAATCATGATTCTCTGTCTGGCAATCCGATGGACGTGTCTGGGTTTGGCGATTGCCAGGAGAACGGTACTTGCCTGACTGTATTGTGCAAAGTTTAGTGGAGGAGGGATTATGGTGCGGGGTTGTTTTTCAGGGGTTGGGCTTGGCCCCTTAGTTCTAGTGAAGGGAACTCTTAAGGCATCAGCATACCAAGACATTTTGGACCATTTCATGCTCCCAACTTTGTGGGAACACTTTGGGGATGGCCCCTTCCTGTTCCAACATGACTGCACACCAGTGCACAAAGCAGGGTCCATAAAGACATGGAAGAGTGAGTTTGGGGTGGAGGAACTTGACTGGCCTGCACAGAGTCCTGACCTCAACCTGATAGAACACCTTTGGGATCAATTAGAGTGGAGACTGTGAGCCAGGCCTTCTCGTCCAACATCAGTACCTGACCTCACAAATGCGCTTCTGGAAGAATGGTTAAACATTCCCATAGACACACTCTTAGGACCTTGTGGACGCCTTCCCAGAAGAGTTGAAGCTGTTCTAGCGGCAGAGGGTGGGCCAACTTAGTATTGAACCCTACGGACTAAGACTGGGATGCCATTAAAG